TTGATCGCCCTTACGCACCACGAACAACCTTGATCATACGCACAACATTTCATGGACAACTTTGCAGGCGTGCTCTCAATTACAATGGCTTCTTGATGCTCCCTAATGAGGTTGTGCTTAAGTGCCATTTGGACATCTTTTTTTGTCGCAAATTCTTGATTGACAAATAACATGTCACCCAGTTGCCACATACCTTGTATTGAAGCCGATCCAGAGACCGAACCATCAGTACATGATTCTTGTTCGCTCCGATAACTCCAATCAATGTAGGAATAATCCAGAATTCCTTCCCAAAAAGGAATAACATATGTGTCACCTGCAATTGCGGATTATAATTTTTTAATACAAACTTACTAATTCAGGTATTAAATCAGTTATCTATTCAGCTATATACAAATGGGATCAATTACCTTCATGGTGAATACCGAACGGGGCAGACGCAACGTCATTCAACTGCGGCATTTGCGCGATGACTGGTTGATGGAATTTGGGATTTGAGACGCACCCATCTCACGTGATTCATCTCCTTCTGAAGCACTAGCATCCTCCGCCAGAAGACGTTCTTCCATTGCCATATTTTCATCGTCGTCATCGTCATCGTCATCTTCGTCGTGCATTTCCCAAGTCGGATCATTTTCATTTCCCTCAGAAAAGTTACCAACTGGAGATGCATGAGTGGCAGGAGAAGCTGGAAGACGGGGAGAATTTAAATAAACTGACCTCACGGTAAGGGAGCATTCTCGGTTGCGGTGATGTCGACATACAACTCTAGAAAATCTGTCTTTGATTGGTTGCAAAATTCTTCCATTGTCATCTCCAAGTCTTCATCGTCAAGCACTTTCAAACTAATGTATTTATCACCTTGCCACACCCTTGTCGTGATCTCAGTGATACATTGGTTGTCTGGAAGACTTAACTTTTGCCGAATTCTCTGATGCAGTTCGCTAATGGTTGTGTTGCGTTGGATACGTGTCGGCCTTTTTTCACCTTCAAAGATGACACATCGTCGACCTTCTACCTTCCTACCATTGTAATATAACACAACACGAACAGAATCAGGATTTGAGCTCATTTTTAAATAGAATAAGAAATAAAATTCAAATACTAAATTAAAGATAAATGAATGTTGGTGGAGAAGAGAGAAATGAAGAGTGAGAGAAGAGGTGTGAATTGAATAGAGGGGGTGGGGGAATATATAGAGCACACATGTGACGCCACTTTTTGACGCCCAAAAGTGGCGTCACATTGTGCAGCAGATGTGTAATTTTTTACAAAACAATATTAAATGCGTAATTATTTAATTTAAATGTATTATTTTAATTTTTTTGCCCTCATCTTGTAGTTGCTGAAGTTGCAGAAACTGACCATCCTGAAAGCCCTTCTCTAACAATAAAAAAACAAGAAACAAGACCCATAAAATCAACAATTGAAAACAGCCCAACAGATCTAACAATAAAACCCCAAACACACATACACATAAACATCCTAGAATTGTCAATTTATTGCTCACGCTACTGTGTTTTGCTTTACCTCCATGAATAGAGATTTTGTGTAGTCCACCCACTGTCTCCACATCTAACCAACCTCTTCCAACTGCTTTTTTTTCATTTTATTTGACTGCAGCCACCCTTAGCCCCTCTTGGTTCCACCACTGCTTGTGGGTAGTACTACTTGTGAACTGGACCAACTTGTGTATGTTATTATCGATTTAATCAATTAACTTCAACATAACTAATTATGAATAATTAGGACTATGCTATTTTAGTTATATTTTTGAAAATGTATATATAACAGTATAACTCCAACTATCACTTGCAAGTAGTGCTTGTTTGAGAAATCTTATAAAAAAAGTCCCTTCTAGCTTACCATCATTTATGTAACTAAATTAGTTAATGTTAGACTTTTAAATGAACATTTATATCAAATCAGAACAAGATAAAATAAAAAATAACATATGAATCACCATTTTGGACATTGCCAATGACAAAACCATAAACTCAAAAGGAAGACACACAACAATAACAGAATAAGAATAATCTATATTATATGTATTTATCAGTCTATATAAAATATTGCGAAATATTAAGGCTTTTGTTTTTTTATTTTGGTTCATGCTCTTTGTATCCCCAAACATAATAATTCTAAAAGATAAAAATTATAATTGACACATTACAAGATTATTATATTGTCATGGTATCATACTAATTCTGATAATGATTCACTTGCTTATGGTGAACATGGTGACCATCAATTCAATTCTGACTTCTTTCTAGTTTTTAACTGTTTGGGTCTAGGTCTCAGGTTTCTAAATATATGTGCTACAAATATGAATATTTCACATTAATTTCAAATTTGATGAAATAATGAAAACAACTGGTTTAACAAGAATGATAATTTACTATTTATATTGCCCAATCAGCATACCATTATTAATGCCATTTATCCTCTACACCTTAGCCCTCATGTGTGACATTCCTGGTTGGACATTTTATTATTCAGTTTTGGTGGAATAACATGGATCTCATAGGTGAACCTCATTTGTCCTCCTTTTGTCTCTCTGATGAAATAATTTTATATCAAATCAGAACAAGATAAAATAAACAATAACTAGAATGTTGTTTATATATATATATATATATATATATATATATATATATATATATATAGGGATTTACATTTCTGCTGCTGATGCACATACATCAGTCAAATACTTGTCATATATATACATAAAATCATTAAATATGGGGAATCATAACCATACACTTTTATTGTTGTACGTAAAACGGCTGTAGAAATAATTTTACCACACACACATATATATATATAGAGAGGGAGAGAGAGAAAAATATTTCTCAAGCAGCTTGAGATATATTTATCTCCGTCCATCCCAAAACTATGTCGTTTTGTTTATTTATTTCTTTATATTAAATGATTCACCTTTGAATGGTTATGATTCCTTTTTTTCTCTCTCTTCCTTTATCACCATTAATCAATCTTTATACAGTTATTATTTAGTGACTGGAGATAAAGTTATCATTTTTCAAGCTGCTTGAGATAACTTTATCTTCGTCTACTAAATCATGACCGTACAAAGATGAATCAATAATGATAAAGGAAGAGAGAGAAAAAAGGAATCATAACAATTCAAATGTGAATCAATTAATATAGGAAAATAAATAAACAAAATGACGTAGTTTTGGGTGGACGAAAATAAATATATCTTAAGCTGCTTGAGATTTTTTTTTCTCTCTATATATATATATATGTATATATATATATATATATATATAACATATATATATATACACACACACACATATATATATATATGTATACATGTGGCATGATATTGTTACACTAGTGTAAGAATAAGAAGTCTTACACCAAATTTTGATAATTAATTTACTTACATTTAACGACTCAAATATCTAATAAATAAGAACCGATAGATATAAATAGGGTCAACGATCTAAATTAAGAGTGTAAAATGATCCTGAATATATATATATATATATATATATATATATATATATATATATATATATATATATATATGAGGAATGATCGTTTGACACCAATGTCAAATTTTAAATTTGACACATTATCTGAAAGCCGTTAGATCAAAAAAAATCAACGACTCTGATTTGTAAGGATGTGACACCATTGATCTTTTTTGATCTAACGGCTCTTAAATGAGGTGTCAAATTTCAAAATTTGACACTGGTGTCAAAGGATCCTATCCCCCATATCTATATATATATATATATATATATATATATATATATATATATATATATATATATATTGCGTAAGAATAAAAAGTTTTACACTAAATCTTAATAATTGATTTACTTGCATTTAATGGCTCAAATATCTAATCAATAAGAATCATTAGATATAAATAAGATTAATAAATAAGATTGAGAATATAACTTATAAACATATATATATATATATATATATATATATATATATATATATATATATATATATATATATATATATATATAGGGGTAGGATCCTTTGATATTTATGTCAAACTTTAAAATTTGATGCTAAATATTAACTGTTGATTTTTGTCTATCAACGATTATCATTTATTAGGAATCAAGCATATTAATTAATTATTAATTATCAATAAACGATAATCATTGATTGACGAAAATGAAAGATTAAGATTTGGTGTCAAAAGATCATGTCTTTTATATATATATATATATATATATATATATATATATATATATATATATATATATATATATATGGTTGAGATGATTTTACACCTCTAAATTCTAATCATTGATATTATTAATATCTATCGAATTTAAATTTTTAGTTATATGAAATATTGGATACAAATATATCAATGTAAGACTTGATGTTCTTATACTTTATATCTATGTATCTATCTAAAGTATTGTGAAATATCGTGGCTTTCCTTATTTATATTTATATTTTTTATTTTGGTTCATGCTCTTTGTATCCCCAAACATAATAATTCTAAAAGATAAAAGGAAAAATTATTTATCCTTTTAAATAACACAACTTATATTATTTCACTCTCACAAAGAGGTGGGTTTCACGTCTTTATTTTTTTTGTCAACTCTCTCTCCACCTTTATCTATCTCTTTCTCTCTCTTAAAATGACACAATTTTACATCCTTTGGAATGACACACTTTACCCAAGATAAAAATTAGAATCGGCACATTACAGCATTATTATTCTGTGCAGAAAAATCAGGAAACGGGTGAATACAACACTACACTCTTCTCCACCTCAACTCTCGGGTTGCTCCCCGCGCCTTATTTCCCCACGAGGAAAAAACCAGAATTCCTTAAACCTCGTCCAATTACAATAATACCCTTTCCATGACTTGGGCCCCTATAATTGGTTCCAGCACAGCAGTGTCATTTCCCTAGCATAGACGCTTCCGCAGCGGATAACAATTCACGTTTTATTCCGATTTCCTGTGTCTCGGTTGCATTTACCGACTGCGAATCCAAAAGAGAAAGAAACGTAGCTTTGAAAGAGTTTTAGAGAGAGAAACAGAGAATTTTAGAGAGAGAAACAGAAAGAGATGAAGATCACAGCTCTGTTGGTGCTAAAATGCACGGGTGAGGGTTCCGATCCGGTGATTCTGGCGAACGCTTCGGACGTGAGCCACTTCGGTTACTTCCAACGCTCCAGCGTGAAGGAGTTCGTCGTCTTCGTGGGTCGCACCGTAGCCAAACGCACCCCTCAGGGCCAGCGTCAATCCGTTCAGCACGAAGGTATAGTATAATATTCCTTCAGATTCTCATCGTAGGGTTTCATTCCTTCGTTCTCTCCAATTCTTGGTCGTTTTGAGTTATTGGGTTGTCGTTTTTATTGATCTGGGTTGTTGATTATACGAAATTTGCATGCTGATTGGGTTTCTACTTCCTATTATTTTTTAACCGTTTTTTTTTTTGGGGGCGGGGGGAGGAGGACACAACAAAGCAAAATAATAGAAATCATAATTGGTTTGATACATAATCATATGTTTTCATATCCGGTGGTGGGTATTTTTATTTTATTTTATTTTTTGGTAAGCAAATTGTGATTATTTGAAACGTTTTTTCGTTTTGCAGAGTACAAGGTGCATTCATACAACAGAAATGGCCTTTGTGCGTTGGGATTTATGGATGATCACTACCCAATTCGAAGTGCATTTTCTCTTCTGAACCAGGTGAGAGTGAGATCAGTGTGTTTCGGTTCAATGTTATTACATATACATTACATCGTGTTTGGAGCAACCTCGTGGTAGCTTATTATTACGTTACGTGTTTTCTCAATTGTCATTAGAATGTCAATGGAAACATCCAGTTAGAGGCATTTCGTGTTTAGCTGTTTTGAGTCTTTCTGGACCATGAGTTATTGCCCCATTTTTCCTTGCAGTGAAAAATTAGGAAGATATTGTTTATGAGGGTACATGATTACTATGTCTCTTGTATTTCTGAGGATATTATAATTATGTAAGAAATCTTGTGTTTTAGTTATTTAATTGATGGAGATCCTCATGAAAGTGGGGATGGCCTTGTTTTCCATTTTTATCACTTTTTATTGTCATGGTATCATACTAATTCTGATTATGTTTCACTTGCTCATGGTGAACATGTCAATGCGGGTGACCATCAATTAAATTCTGAATTCTTTCTAGTTTTTCATTGTTTGGGTCTAGGTCTCAGGTTTCTAATTCTATGTGCTACAAATATGAATATTTCATATTAATTCCAAATCTGATGAAATAATGAAAACAACTGGTTTAACAAGTATGATAGTTTACTGTTCATATTGCCCAATTAGCATACCATTATTAATGCCGTTTATCCTTTACACCTTGGCCCTCATGTGTGACATTCCTGGTTAGACTTTTTATTATTCAGTTTTGGTGGAATAACAAGGATCTCATATGTGAACCTCATTTGTCCTCTTTTTGTGTATGTGACTGCTTATGCTCCATAGTGGTCTGCACCATAACTAAATGATTATATCCTTGAAGCCATTTGTCCCCCTCCCCCCTCTCCCTAAGTTCAAATTTCTTGTTTCTAGTGAGAATTCCATGTCTATTGAGTGATTGTATGCAAGTAAATTTCCGTATGATTGATGGTGGACAAAGGAGTAAGCATGCAATTTCTACGCTATAACTAAATGATTAGCTTCTTAAAGTAATTTGTCCCCCATGAGTTCAAATGTCTTGTTTTAAGTGGTGAGAATTTCATGTCTATTGAGTGACTGCATGCAAGTTAGTTTCCGTATGCTTGGTGGCAGACAAAGGAGGGGTAAGCATTGTAGCAAGCAAGCAAGTTACAAAGTATTTTCCTTTTGGTTTTAAGAAACTTGAAGTAATTGCAATGGATAACAGTAATTAAATGTCAGATTACAATAGCTGTTATATCAGACAGAATGTGTCTGCTGCATGTTATTTTATTGTTTTATTAGATGTTAATAAAATATAATGTCTTGTAGCTGCTGGATGAATATCAAAAAAGTTTTGGTGAGTCATGGAGAAGTGTTCAGGCAGATAGTACTCAACCATGGCCCTATTTGAATGAAGCTCTGGCAAAATTCCAGGTATGTAAATACCTCTTCTTTGTTGAATCAGCTTCAGCTATAGGAGAGATTTTTTTTATTTTTTGTTAAAAAATTGCATAATATTTCACATTGTGTTAAAAAAGTTTTTCCTTTCTGCTAATATTTTCACATGATTACTTTTGACTTGAACCCCCTTTCATCTGTGCCTGCCAAATCTTCAGGACCCTGCAGAGGCTGACAAATTGTTGAAAATCCAGAGGGAGCTGGATGAAACAAAAATCATCCTTGTAAGTATTGTGCTAAATGTGCATTATGTTATATCTGCAAAGCAGTAGATGGGTTCCCTGCATCTTTTGTCTTCTAAATTTACTTCTCTTTAGTTAGACATTTTGTCATGTAGTTATTCAATTTTAAACTTAACAGTGGTATGCTTGGTAATTTTCTGAATGAAATCCTTGTTTGCTTGAGAATTTGGCATTGGTTTACAAATGACAATGCCAGCATCATGCAAGTTCAGCATCACTCTAATGGAGCCAAATATAATGTACTCTTGTGAATTTATCCTTTCTTAGCGTAGTGGTGTGATTTCCTAAATTTTACATGGTGTCTGTCAGCAGATCATCAATCTTTCAGTTGCTATTAATACTTGTTCAGTCTAAATATAATTTGGTAGTCTTGATTTAGCTATTTTATGTGGGTTAGTGGGCTTTTCTTATTTTGTCCCTCACTATGGGCTTGTTTAAGTTCTCTGTTTGGTTTTCTAATGCATAGATTTCTAAGAATCGCATCACAGACATATAATGGAGTGTTTATCCATGACTTTGTTATTTTCTCTCACCATATGATGACTTTCTGTTTATAAACAGCATAAGACTATTGATAGTGTACTTGCACGAGGGGAGAAGCTGGACAGTTTGGTTGAGAAGAGTTCTGATCTGAGTGCAGCATCGCAGGTACACTAAGACAGCTCCTGTTTTACAGCTTTGCATTTGGGACTAACACATGAATGCATACATACATTCAGACATCTATTGTTAGTGTGCCTCTTCTTATTTTCTGTTCCTTAAACTTTGTTTTATGGTTGGTTATGATCATCATTAAGCATGCGTGATGAATATTTTATTTTATTCTTGTGATTAATGTCTTTGCTTTTAGCATAAATCCTTAGCAATGCTTTTATTTAGGTGATCAGAGGAAATAAATTAATATGAAGAACATGCAGTATATAAATTTAGGTGTTCCTTGGGTTTTTTCTTCCCATTAGACATTTGTGTTATTGTCTTTTGGGGTCTATCTATATCAGAATGTGCTTACTGCTTTCATCTAATCTGCTAATGTCTAATAATATATTGTCTGTGAGGTCATGGTGTTATAAATGTTGCTCAGGAACCTGCTTTTTGTTTTAAACTGATTGTCTGAATATTGATTTTCAAGTAGTATATGTGTGGTTGTGTTTATAGGGTTATAAGAGGGCAGAACGACAGGGAAGTTTTTGGGGAGGGTAACGATTATTTAGTCTTACAATGTTCAACATCCTTATCAATTTATCATAAGTCAAGGCTATCTTCGAATGAAGTTTTGCTTCTTTATATGTTCGTATGTATAATTGCATTACAATCTATTACATTATATCTTCTTTTGCCACTATATAATACTGAACAAAACATGAAATTCTATAGGTAAGACTTCGTTTGTTCCTTGCCTTTATTTATTCTATACTCTGTACTTATAAGATTTTTTTCCATTATTTATACTTCTAATGATTCCAATCTTTTTCTTTTCAATATTTATTTTGATATTTAAATATTTATCAATTTTTGGTTGTTAAGAAAATTCTATTTATTGCTATAATAGGACACGACTTGTTTTGAATACCATATTTGGTTTTATATTTAGAAGAACTTGTTTCAGTTAACCATGAAAGGAAATTTATTTCCCACTAGTTAGTTTGCTGACCCAAGAACCTGATGCTGGTGTTTGAAACAGATGTTCTACAAACAGGCGAAAAAAACCAATCAGTGTTGTAGCATATTGTAAACTTTCAAGACCATCAGTATCCGGTGAGCTCACCTGAAATCCTCTTCAGATGTTGAGGCTGTTGGATAGGAGAAAATAGCTTCATGTGTCTATATCACTCTCTCCATTGTTTGCTTGATGAAATTCTGTGATTTCCCCCATATATGTATTGCTGACGGGAGCTGAATGTTGGCTAAAGGTCTTACCGTGTTGACCAATTAACATTCTCATTTACTTTCTTTGTGATGCGGACTACGATAATTTATAGTATGCATAAATGATTGTTTTATGTATTTAATTATTTTCACCTTTAGGATGTGTAGGAGAATCATTATGTTCTCTGGTTTTGTTTATGGCTTTGTTTCTGAAGAGAATTTTTTTTTAATTTATGTATGTGCTTGGGAAGATTTTTTGGGGAAAAACGTATTTGATAACACTATTTTTATTCCCACTAAGAAATAATATGTATTTAATAAATAGTACATTTAATAAATTGCGTGTGTTATCTTGATAATACATTTTTTCATAATACATTTTATATTGTATACAAGTAATAAATAGTATCAGGAAATAAAAACTAAAAAAAATTGTTTTTTATTTTTGTTTATTTATGTTTTTGGATTATTGGTTCATTTCTGAGAATAGAAAAGTAATTTAGTTTTATCAAATAATTTGTTGTATCATTTCTTATCTCTGAATTATATATATATATATATATATATATATATATATATATATTTGGGAATATTGTTATATAAACCTTATTTTCATTTTCATGATCTTGGAGTGGTGGTTGTTTGCCATACTATTGAAATAGCAAAATATTATATCTAAAGGTATAAATGGATTAGGCTGACGGATCTATGACTTAATGTATATTAGGAAAAATTTTAAAATGCTCCTGGATTATGGTGGTCTTCCCATCAAAGGAATGACACATGGAATTTTTTTTTTCTCTCCTTTCTCCACTCATCTCAATCTCTCTTTCACTCTCCCTCTTCTGTCCCATGCAATATTTTGTGCATTGGAAGTGCCAAAATAAATCTTCCATATTAGGTCAGTTTTGACTTATTACAAATAGTCAAATAGAATAGACATAAGCTTTTAAAAACTAGTCATTTAAAAAGTAGGTTATAGGTTTTTTTATATATGTCGGACTTATAAGTTTACAGGTTGATTTATATTATATTATTTATATGATATTAATTATTTTTTAATTATTGAATGTTTAATAGCTTTAAACAGATTAATAGGTTTAGGCTAAGAGTTTTATTTTTTAAATACAGGTCAGATTTGTAATTTGAGTTTATATAGACTAAAAGGTTAGGCTAGTCTTCTAAGGGCATGTTTGGTGCATAGTATAAGATAAGATCTGATAATATAAGACTTGATAGTATAAGGCCTGATTGTATAAGACCTGATTGAATTTTAATATTATCTAGTGTTTGGCACGATATTATATAAAATAATATATTGTATAAGATAATATCATCCAGTATTTGGTAATGACTATATAATACTATATAGAATACAAATAAATATTTTTAATAAAGAATTTATATAATTCTTCAAAAAATATTATATGATATAATTTTTTTAAAAATTTATTGATCAGTGTGTTCAAAATATAAATTAATTTTTTTAAAAATAAAAATATTTAGTATTTTAAAATTAATATATTGAAAAATTAATTTTTATTTTAATAGATTAATATTAAATAATATATTAATTTTTGAAAATTACATTGGTCAACGATGTTAATACACCAATCTCTTATCAGGCATTATCTCTCCCCCTTAGGCCGGATTAAGTTATACGTCGTTTTGATGTATTAAGGGATTATGCTGTATAAGTTTCTATTATACGATGGTCACACCAAATAACTGAAAATGTCATAACATATAATATAAGCTTATACTATCATGTCTTATACATCACATCAAACAAGCCCTAAGGTTTTTATACAGGTTTGATTTATTTGAGTTAAAGTTTAAGCTAGCCTAGCTTATGTAAACACCCCTAACATGTGATTTGATCAAAATCTTTTTTGTACATATTTCAGATGAGAAACTGTCATCCCATTCAATTGAATTGTGATGTCCTGGATCTGACATGTCTCTTGGGATAAGTAACATGAAGCTCAGAATTATGGATTAATAGTATTTATCGAATATTTAGAATATTCAGAGAATATCCGAATTCCATATTCCAAATTTTCTATTTTGATTCTATTTATTTTATTTTTTTTTGATTATATTTTTGATTGTTTTTTTTTGGTTTTACGATATACCCTATTAACTATATGAGATTGAATAGAATATTTCTATTAATTAATCTGGAAATCTATTATAGACACTAATCTAATTAGATCTACTCTTCATAGACAAACTTGGGATTTGCGATCTCAGGTCAGATCAGTTTAGAGGAAATTGAAAGCTTGCGTTTTTGGTATTTTGCCACCCCGAATGACGAGCTTGTGATGATGTGACATTTGCTCGTTTGGATGAATTTTTTTTTAGTTAAGAGTTACTATTTTTTGGAAAAAAAAAATTATTACTTAGTCTCTTTGGATGTTTGATTTTTAAAAAAAAGCAAAAGTTACAAAAATAATCAAAAAAAGTTTTGTAAGTTAAATATTTTAATTTCTAAAAAAGATAGAAGTTAAAATTCAATTATTTTTATTTTAAAATCTAAATAATTTTAATTTTTGTAGAAAACACTTTTAAAATTAGGAAAGGCAAGTTCTTGTTTTACATCCGAACGGCCTTAGATACTGTAATACAGGACAAGATATCCTCTCATAGATTGTAAGAACTAATATGGCTTGTAGGAGTGGTGCTTTTGCTTGTAACATGTAGCATTTCTCGGAGCTTCTGTTTCTTTCAACCTTTTTAAGTCTATTTGACATTCTTTTTTAAAGTTAAAAGTTATTTTTAAATTAAATTTAAAAAAATAAAAAATAAAAAATAAAATTACAAACTGTTTGATGATTATATAAAATTTTTAGCTTAAAAATTATTTATTTTTTTAAAAAAATACACATTTTAAATAAACGTTGATACAACTTTAAAAAAAATTCCTAAGAGCTTTTGACTGTTGACTTTTGACTTTTTCTTCATTATAATATTTTTTTATTATTATTATAAGAACTTTTGCAAAATCTATTTAGCCAAGTTTTATTTACAAGGTGAAGAAAAGCTTTAAAAAAAAAAATCTTCGAAATAGGACCAAGAAAAGGAAGAATATCTTCTTTTCGGGACAAAAATAGAATTCTGGGTAAAGCGTAAGAGCAAATTAATCTTCTGTATTCTCTCTCTTGTTTTCCTTTCTTAACTTGCCTTTTATATTTTTTTTGGGTAATATTCTTTTCTTATTTTATTCCTTCTATTTGATTGGAATATTTGGCTCATGTATTCCTCAAAGGTTGCAAAATCAAATTTTTTATTTTCATTATCGTTATATTATATTGAACTAATTCAGAATTGACAATCAAGAAAATTGCTACTTAGACATGTGTATTTTTTTAAATTTAATTATCAGTTTTTAATTGAGAGGACACTGATAAAGACAAGGAAAAATAATAATAAAGGATCAAACTCTCGTAGGTGGTTTCACAATTTTTAAAAGGGAAATGATATACCAAAAAAGTTTACAACCTTTACGATTAACCTAATCACCGTTGATTCCCGTCAATCTAACGATTATGATTTATTAGAAAGTATTGGGTCGCATTTATTAATTAATTATTAATTCATAATAAATAATAACCGTTAGATTGACGGAAATCATCGGTGATTAGGTTGGTTGTAAATGTAAGTATATCCTGCCCCTTTTTTTAAAAGGGATATATTTTTCTTATGTTGTAGGAAAAAATTATCTTATGTTGTAGAAATAAAAGTATAAGTGGGACCCACAGGTAAGAGGAGAGAGAAAAAAAAGTGGTGAGATTCAACTCTTTTTTGTGTGTAGGAGAGTTGTTTATCTCATGTAAAATGAGATAAACATAACCTTTTTTAAAATGCTAAACTAGTAAAACTTTGTATGCAGTATGAATATTTGTTTTGTCATTTCATCATCTTTTTTAAAAATTTTCATAAATGATATATATAAGGACATGATCAATTTATACCGATGTAAGAATAACAAATCTTACACTTAATTTTAATCGTTGATTTCCGGACATCAAACGATGTTATTAATTGAATTATTCTAATTAATTAATTATTAATTCTCAATAAATTATAATTATTCACACACATATATATTACAAAAGAGTTAAACAATCACATCAAAAAATTATCTAAATTTTGAAAAGTTTATTATTTAAATTAAAACTTTGAACATAATAATTAGAAAAAATATCAAAATTCTCTACCCCATAATTTAGTACTTACACAACATATCATTGTTAAAAGCAAAAGTACTGAAACATTAGTGCTTCAAGCAGTAGCTGGATTCAGGAAATTTTATTTATGTATGCATATTTAATCTGAATATTTAATGGAGAGGATTTGGGGGCAATGCTTCTCAAAAAAAAAAAATTAAACAAAGTTTTAGATGTATTAAAAAATAAAAAAATATAAAAAAATTTATATCTCTGATGTTATATGAACCAAACTTTTTATCATGTTAAGAAAAAGATAAGACCAATTCATTGAATAATGCGTTATTTCACTTTCTTTAATATTATATAACTTGACAAAAAATTTCATTCATATAATATGAGAGATATAATCCTCAAACAACAAAAGAAAAGAAAACTTAAGCTTAACATAAAAAACATAGTAATCAACTTAATGATATAAAACCACTAAAACATAAACAGTAAATAAGATGTGTTTCTTTCTTAATATCTGTGCTTTATTCTTGGTAATACAACCACTAAAATTGTTTATTGAGTGACACTCATAATTAATTAAAAAATATATTTCTTCTTTACTAAAAAAAATATATGACCAAAGTTATGTGTGCAGTTGCACACGTAAAAAACCAAATAGATCCGCTACTACTTCAAGCACCGGACATACAGAAGTACATAATACGGAACAAGCCAATATATGCTTAGAGTGATCCAAACTAATATAATATGAAATGAAATAATTTATCAACCTAACAAATTATGTATCTTCGAGATCTATTTCCCAAGAATGGATTTGAACCACCAAATGCCTTTAGTGTCTTGGGGACCTTCTTCTTCTGGTGGAGGATCGCTCTGTGGGGTCTTGTGGAGTTTGCTCACCTCATATCCCTCATCCTTGGCTTTGTGAACAAGCTCGTTGTAGATTTCATCATCTATATTGGTCTTCCTGCATAATATCTAGGAACCAAAATTGACCAAAGTTATGGCTGGAATATCAAATTAACGAACATATCATAAATAAAAAATACAAAAGCATTTGTTAAGAAAATAAAATTATATATAAAATTATTTCTGCAGCCGCTTTACGTACAACAACGACATGTGTATGGTTATAATTCTCCACATTTAATGCTATCATCCTTTGTATGGTTATGATTTCCCGCATTTAATGCTTGAATATATATATATATATATATATGTATATATATATATATATAATTGATGCGTAGCAGGGAATATCTAATAATTTCCCCCAATTAACAAAGGGTCTCCAACTTAAAGCCAGGATACGTATATATCTAGCGACAGCTGAAGTATAAAAGCCATTAACAAATACACCATAGTGATAATCCCTCGCAAATTAACTATGTTGAAGCTTTGGTTTATTTACTCTTCTATGTATTATAAGGGAAAGATCATGTCTTATTTTAAGATGACCTTCTCAAGTGAAAAATGCCACTCACTTAAAAAACAGTTCCAAGTTTCAACCACAAAGCTGAAAAAATGGAAAAGAAAAATAGTTTTTTTAAATGAGAGATGAAATGATTCATTAGATAAAAGATAAATTGACTTACCCAAAGATATTTCTTGCTTGGCTGGCCAATCAAAGCATAGTGGTAATCATCATCAATGTACAAAACCCAATAATCCCCAACAACAGGGACGAGGGGCAAGAATGGAGGAACATAGAACTTGACCTTGAGCTTGGCTTCATCAGTATTAGGGACAACCTTATAAGCAGTTCCTTCTATGTAACTTCTTTTACCACCACTCCAAGTCTCGTTAAGCACATGCACAGTCCCATCATCGTTAAGAGTGTATGTGGCTCTGGTGTTCACACCATTCTTAGGTTGATCCCTTGATGGGAAAGAGGCTATCTCATACCAGCGCCCCATGTATCTCTGCATGTCCAAACCCTTCACAACTTGCATATCTTTCTGAGCCATTGGTGCTTTGATTCTATTGAGTTGCGTCACTTTCTTGGTGTTGTGAGTTGTGGCTTTGTTGAGGTTAATTTCAATGTAGATATATATAGGAGAAAAAACTTGTTTGGGTATTTTGAAAAATGTATTATTTTTCAATTAAGTTCTTATAAGTTTTATCAATTTAATTTTTACAATTCTAAATTTTTAATTATTTTATCTCGCCATCTTCTTAAGTTTAATATTATTAATTTAAAAATAATTTCATTACAAGATAACATGACATATATAATTAAACTGATTAAGTTAAATTAATATATTTTGCCAATTTTATACATTAGTTTAGATTTAGACTCGTGCGTGTGTATAATATATCATTTTTACTTTTTAAAATGAATTATACCAAAAATATTTTGTCTAAATATTCAATGTTATCTTTTGATATTGTAAACTAACAGTGACAAACTCAAATAATTAAAAAAAATAGAAATTTTAAATTTAAAAAGTTAAAGGAATATAACATTCTAAAAGACTAAATTGAAAACTTCTGAGCAATGCGAGTGGGACTGGGGAGTTTGGTACTTACACGTACACCATAATCATAGAAGTTTCTAGAATATTAAGGTAATTGCTGACTTCTCCAACAAGAAATGAGAGAGAGAAAAACTCGTTATTATAAATTGTTTTACTTCATACTCACCTTCGGGGAAAATGCCATTTTTAGTTTTCTCAAATCATATTATTGGTAAACAATATTTGGCTTGGTTAGAAAATGCCAAAATTAGCCTATCCAAGTTCTAAGGCTTCGCCAAAAGAGAAAGCTTAACGGACAAGAAATAGCGTATGGACTAATATGTCCATTTCAATTTTATGTTTGGAGCTGAAGGCACCGCTCACTAATAAAAAATAAAATAAAATCCTAGATCATCATTTTTCGTGGGTCAGAATTCAGCACTGTTGCGTGGGATATATACACATTAATAGTTATATTAGTAGTTTTTTGAAAGTTAAATTATTATAATATTATTTTAGTGATACATTAAAATTAAAAGCAATAAGTTCTCGGCTAGAAATAGGTCTCACAAGTTACATTTTAATGAACTTGGTGATTTAGATAAAAAAATTATTGAGAATACTTTAAGCGCCAAATAATAAAAGTGTAATGCTTTTTGCTTTGAATGGTTTTGTTTCATTAAGGTTACATTTCTTTTGGATCATTTTTTCATCATTACAAACATAGAATCAACTAGATATGACACAATAAATGTATTATCTTTTTAAGGCATTAAGCACAACAATATTAATTCAAAAACATAACCAGAGTTGCCTTAGTTGTTATCTATTATTTATAACTATAGGCATTACATAAGTGTAGGAATGTAAACTAACTTTTTTCCTTTACCATTGCTATTCAACTAACATAAAGTTAGACCAGCTCATACATGTCCAATAACAATAACTTATCATATAAGAAGTAGCCCAAATGATCAGTACAACAATTATCAAGATTATACAACAAATAGTATATATAAATACAACTCTGGCAGCCCATAGTCTAATCTAAATTGCAAAGAAGTATTTACTCTTTTAGTCTTGACATTTTAACACATAAAACTAGACATCTATAGCTTTAAAATGACACCTCATTTGCTGTATTTGAGTAATAATTGAAAGAGTTATGTTTCTTTCGAAATATACTGTCAAATTCTCGACAACCAACGAAACAGAGTTTCTGGCGGCTTCGATTCTACCCCAAACATAGATATGACCTTTACAAAAACTGGCTAAAACCTGACAGTATAAATTCAAACTTAGACAATGTTTATTCTCTCAAAAAATGGGAATGACTCTAAATTTTTGGTACGAGGTATTTTTTAGGATTTTCGGGAAACTGAATTTTTTTTAAATTTTTAATTTTCGGATATTATCGTAAACTGAATGTTTTCATCATATTTCTGAAAATCGAGATTCCCGGATAAAAAAAAATTTCTCCTCTACCAAATGCCTCAAGTGGGTTAGGCTGGACCGAGCTTTGCCCCGAAAAGCCCAAGCCTATGCCAAATTTTTTCAATTTGGCTTGGCCCGAGCCTAGTACGAGTCTAACTCTTAGCTTGGCTTGACCCGTTTATAAAAAAAAAAAAAACAAATGGCCTGACTTGGCCCATTAGCCTATTAATTTTTAACTTCCAAGCAGAATCATGAATCAACTTCACAAAATACTCAAATTCTGTTGCTAAAACAAAAATCACAATTTCAACGTCCAAACAGAACCATGAATCACAACAAAACTCATCACAATCTGCATTTAAGTCACTTTCAAAAGCAAAATGCTCAAACTAAATAACATATATTTCATCAGATTCAACAAACAAATCTATACTATGTAAATTAAAATAACTACATGAATCCAACAAACACATCATGATGCTTCTAATAGCTAAAAACTTCTCTTCATCTTCTCTCCCCTACAAATACAATTCCAAGATTACATAAGTTGACAAAAAAATTCTAAATGTAGAAAACAAATAACAAGAATAAAGAATAGAAAAAAAATATATTAAGAAACAAAAAATATTTTAATAGATTCATATAGGTAATCTCACATGCTGAGATGTTGGTTCCTCCTATATAAAAAATAAAGTCAAATTTCTATTAAAATTTAATCGAGTATAATTAAATTATAAAATGATTTCAATTGATTAAATTTATACCTTTTGTTTTTTCTTCAAGTCATACCTATTATGTAGTCAATCTACGTCGTATATTAAAGCTTGAATGGTATCTTCAACCAAGCTAAAATGATAGGCATTAATAACTCTTCCTCTAGCACTAAATGTTGATTCTGATGGAACTGTAGAGATTGGTACAGATCTCATGTCACTCTCAAAGATAATATTAGTGAAGGAACGAACCTAACTCCTTCTACCACTTACTTAGCTCATATGCACCAACTGAACTATCACCATTTGATACTACTATTAATAATATTATTTTATTTAATTTAAAATAAATAATATGATATTGGTCGGCCTGTAGGCTTATGGGTCCGGTATGTAAAAAAAAACCTATCACCTACTTTCTAAATAGGCTTATTTAAAAGTCTGAGCCTGTTCTATTTGACTATATATAATAGGCCAAGCCCGACTTGATATAGGCTAGGCCGGGCCGACCCACTTTCACCCTTATGACTCACTATAACAACCCACCTTAAGAAATCTTGAAATAATAAAAGAAGTACAAGTGTGATTACTAGGTTACACTAGCTTTTGAATAAGTAAGCTTTTGATATGAATTTTGTTGAGTAAATGAATGAATAAAATTTGCGAAGATACAATTCAGGTCAAGTATGGTAAATAAGACCTAAATGAGGATATTAATAAAGTCTAGGTGTAAAAATACAAATATGTGACTATATGGACTAATTTACAAATAAGAAATATAATGGTTAAAGCTTAAGTTTGATTATTAACTAAGTCAAATCTTGATAAATTAAAAGTCAAAGGTATGCTAAATTACATGAAAAATCAAAGTATGTAACCAAAGATGACTAGTTTGATAACCTAGTCTTATTTTCTACTAAATGGTTGATTGAATACTAAGTCATGATTGATGTTAAATTATATGTTTAAAGATAGACCAATCATATTAATTTAAAAGGATGACTAGGTCAAAGTTGAGAGAAAGACTAGAAAATTATTAGTTAAGTAGTTTTGTTGAATTGTTCTACATGATTGGTTGATTGTTTTCTTTCCCACATGACTTGTGCGCATGATTCTCTTCCTAGTATGATACATGGGCTAAATGTATGTAAAGTAAAAGTAACCAATAGTAATTGATTAAGTGTGTGTTGAAAGTCAAAAGTTGTAGGCTAGTTATAAAAGTAGGAAACTAAGCCAATTGGTGAGATTTGGAGAAGTGCAAGTCGGTTCTTCCTCTTGAAGTGTTCAGCCGAAGATGTGATCATATAAAAGGGACTAGAAGAGTGAGGTGGATCATTGGAATTGGTTGTTAAGTTGACAAAATGAAAAGCTAACAAGTTAATTAAACTAAGTTAAAGTAACAGATATTTCAAGACAACCAAGTCGAATCTTTTCTTTCTTAGAAGTCCCACGAAGATTTCTTTCTTTTCCTCTTCTTCCTTGTCTTTTCCATGGCTGAACTTGGTCACTTGAAAATAGGATAAGTCATATGTAAGAACCTGCACCGTTAAAATAGGAATTTAATTAAATGAATTATGAATTTAGGAAATAATTCTATAATTGACCTAATAATTATGAGAAGGCTTAAATAATCATAGTAAGTGATTAATAATGTTGAAAGTCGCTTTTTTTGACGAAAAATGCGGATACCAGTTCTGCTTCACGGTATAAGTGCGTACCGATGAAGTATCCCGGAAAATTATGAAAAGTATGTATATAGTCCTAGGATAATATTTAGGACTGGAATACAAAGTTTAAAGTCAAAATAATGAGAACTGGTATCAGAACTGATAGCGGCTACGTAAAAGCGCGTACCGACAAAGTGCTGCGAAAATTATAATAAAAATATGATAAATCCTAAAAAAATGGCTAGGTTCAGAATCCCAAGTTTGAGATTAAAATGATAAGCGTAACTATTAGTGCTGATACTGTAAGATTAAACTTAAGTGGGCTATAAATAGACCTTTACACAATAACCTAGGTCAGAATTCTTGTTTCTACGTAGCCTATTTTCTGAGTTGAGAGCTCCACCTTGGCTGCCACCTTCCTATCTTCTTGGAAGCTTGAAACTTACATGAAAACCAACCAAGTCATCACCTTGTCATTGATCTCTCTCTCCATTGGCCTTGCAAACACTGAATAGTTGGCTTTGTGAGTGAGTTTGGTATATCATTTCTGAGTGTGAGCTACTGTTGGTGAGGCTTTGCGGCTGTCCCACTTTGTGGTGGTGTGTGAGAGCATTTCTTGGTATTTAAGGCTTCAAGAAGCCATTTTGATGGAGAAGGGACCTAGCTTGTTGTGTACTTTCGTAGTCTTGAAGTGACAGAACCATAGTGCTGTGTAGAGGACTCCAAGTCTGCCCCTTTTTC